GGTTGACCTGAAGTGATGCTGTGACCGCGCGCTCTCCGCCCTCTATCTCGAAAACGGTTCACCGTATAAAAAAAATTTTTAAACAAAATTTGTAGAGAATTTTGTATTCTACAATATTGATAATAAATACAAATAGCAAAAAACCCATAGGAAATGAGATATTTCCAAAAAAAGCGCAAAAAACCGATTTTTGTGACCTTTGACTTCGAAATTTAATAGTTGCTCACACCCTACCATATGTAGGTTTTGAGACAACTTTCAGGGTGTCAATATACAAGTATTTACAGACTTACAGCTGGGTATCTCGAATTCTGAGGTGAACTTACTATAATGACTGGACTAGTATCCGCGTCGACGCTTGGGAGTAGGCAGATTGAGACACTTCTCAATCTGATTCATTTTTTATTTTTCATACGTACTTCACAAATACTTATTAACAAACTTTATTCTTTCCAGCTTTTCGGTGATATCGGCTTCTTGCATGGAATCCAAAAAACTGCACGCCTCTTCAAACTGCATGGCACAGCGCCCATCTACATGTACAGGTTCAGTCTAGAAGGTCCTTTGAACACCTTTAAAAAACTCTGCGTCACGAACCACCCATACATATTGCTGACAACTCTAGTGCTGGGAATAATACCTGGATGTAGCAGATTCTTCACATTCCTTTCGAAGAAACTTTCTGATAGTGATATCGTAGGAGCAGCTCATGCGGATGAAATATCACATCTATTCAAACCATTGGTGAATTTACCCATAGTTGAAGGTAGTGAGGAAGACAGTTACGTGAAAAAATTGGTGAAACTTTGGACCAATTTTGCCAAGTTTGGTAATCCCACACCGAAAAAAGACGTTACTCTTGATAACGTTATATGGGAACCCGTCAAAAGTGACAGGTTGGACAATATATGCGATATCAATAAAACCGTCACAATAACGGAAAATTTTGAAAGTTTAAGAGTTGCGTTCTGGGATAATATGTACAGAAATTTCTCTGCTTAGAGGAAGCATAATGCAGTGAAGTCAAATCTACATCTAGTCGTGGTGTAAATCGTTGATTCTTGCTGTTGAACCAATGCACTACTCATGGATTCTCTGAAGATTGGAGTATCATCAACTTACTACGTTAATTTAGTAGATATAGAAGCAATATTCTCTGGTTCTCCCAATGGGTGATTAGTAGCAATTTTACTAGCATTGTGTTTTCGTCACTGTCAGTGACATATTTTTGTTAAGGATCGAATATATGAAAGAAAATGCCAACATAAAATAGTTTATTTCTTATTGAATTTTACTAGTTCGGACTTCCATCTGATTTGAAATTTCTGAAAGAACAAACAAACAGAATCGAAATGAAAAGCTGAACATATTAATTATATTGAGCAATAAAACGTGAAATGATATTTCGATAAAACAGAAATAATAAAAATATTGAAAATTTAACAAATGAAATTGAAATTATAAAATTAAAAAATCAAAAAAGATTTGAAACCAAATTACCTCACGACGTTTCGATTGTTCCACGATATGACTATTTGAAGGTCATTCGAACGCTCTCACCTATTCCCTCTCTCCGCTTCACCGGTTCTACGGAAATTGACTGTTTTTCCTCTTGGTTACAGGTTTCCAAATGTTGCGTATCACTACGCTAGCTTGGCTGAATACGTTGTTGGACAACATGTATGCAGCTTCTTTGACCTTCCTCTTAAACCAGTGTTCCTCCCTGTGGACGATCTCAGCTTGGAACCACTTGATGTTATGTTGGTGATCCAAAACATTCTCTGCTATTCCCGATTTGCTAGTTTCCCCTTGCTGTGTGTTTTTCTTGTGCTCAACAAAGTGGATTTTCAATGGCCTGTTAGTTTCACCTATATAGAATTTGCCGCATTCACAGGGTATCCAGTAAATGCAATTCTTGTAATGGCAGTCCGCGTTTGGTGGCCTGATTCTCGTGAGGCTTCTACGAATGATGGTTCCGGATCTGTAGCAGGTTCTTATGTTGTACTCGGGCGAGCACTGGTTGTGACGGATTTTCTTCCTTGTGAGGCTCTTGTTGTCTTTCAGCCAAAGTATCTTCCACCATCGCTTTAGAGTGGCCATTCCGTTGAAGATCATATTTGATGGTGTCTAGTTCCTTCCCGAGACCATCCTTCGTATTACAGAGCCCGAAAGCACAGTCTAATAGAGTTTTGATGATTCCTCTTTCGGTAGATTGATAGTGGCTGGATTCGTGATTCAGATACTGTCTTGTGTGAGTGGTTTTTAGATATACATATTTATGTTTTCCACTTTGTGTTAGTCCTCTTCACCAATAAATATAAAAATAGCAATTCGTTGTGGACTTCCTTCCCCATTGTGGAGGTGATGGAAAGTTTTACGCCATTGATGTGCCCCAGAAAGGTGTCTTGATATTTTCATTTTTTATTCACTTTCAAACAAATCACAAGCACTACAGGAGCACTCTTAAGGAGTTCTCAGAGTGATAAATATCACTCCTTGAATTATATTTCTTTCAGTGAAAATACGTACAGTTGAAATATTTTAAAAAAATTTTTCGAAGTTATTTTTTCATACATGAAACTAAACAAGGTTGATGTTATGGAAAGATATCAATTTTTGTTTTCAAAACCTTCTTTTCAAGTCTCATCCCCTTTAACTTGTATCAAAACCAATTCAAACAAAAAAACAAGTTAGTACCAACGAACAATCCATATCAAAAACATGTTCAGAGATACATATCTAACTTCACTACTTGAAGTTAATTGTCATTTCCCAGGAAAGTGTACTGAAAAATATCATTGGCACAGAGAAATTAAATTGAGAATCCGTGATGAAATCAAAACCTCAATTGATAAAGTTCATTTTTATTTCATTAGTGTATCATTTATTTTCCATTCTCGTTTTTTCAGTCTACAGTAATAGCCTCCCTTTGGTCTAGTCGATATATCTGCTTTCAATTGCAAATCCGGTACTTTCCCATCTGCTTGAATTTCAAATCTGTGGAGCAGATTTGCCATAAACATCTTCAAAATAATATTCGCCAGTGTTTTGCCTGAAATATAACCAAGTGGTAACTTGCATATGATATGATGGAAAATCTGAAATACTAGAGTGCAGTACCCCAAGGTTCAGCATTGGGCCCATAATTATTTTCAATGTATGCAAGCGATTCAATATGTTGAATACAAAACAAAGAATCGCTTGGAGCGAATGACAATGAAATTTGCGTAAGCCCCTTAGCTAAGTTATGACAGAATTCAGAATGATTCAGCTAAATTATGCCATCATTCAGGATAACCTAAATTAAATTCTCCACCTAGTATAGAGATTAGCTGGTTTAGGGAGAGCGTGTCGAATTTGATTTTTGTTGGGTAGAGTATTCAGTTAACTAATTTAGTGAGCCAATAATATTTCTGGAAAAAGGTTGGTTAGGTAACAGGATGAATTTTTTCTTGAAAAAAAATTGTTTCCTTTCCCACAATTCGAATTCAATTAAATTCTTCTTCAGGGCTCAAAACGTAGTTTTTTCGTGTTGATAATATTACTATCACTGATGGTTTTTAAAATAGTAATATTATCAACACGAAGAAACTACTGCTATAGCCCTGAAGAAGAATTCAATTAAATTCGAAGTGTCAGCAAGAAAACATTTTTTTTTTAAATCGATCCTATTACCCAACCAACCTTTTTCCAAAGTATTCAATGTTCGTTTTCTTCATCATAAGTATTTTAACATTTTCCTATAACGGTTATTCATAAAGAGCTCACCTATACATCCTCGTGGACCTGCACTGAAGGGCATATAGGCATATATATGCCTGTTCTTCACAGCTTCCGGCAGAAAATGGTCGGGGTGGAAGTGTTTTGGATTCTCCCAGTGTGCCGTATCTCTATGCAAGTTGAAAATGGGTACCACTATGGCACTTCCTTTCGGTAATACCCACTTATCTGAAAAATATTCACACATTTCAGAACATTTCGAGACAGTTCTTTAATGTTTCACAATGACTTGAGACGTTCCTGAATGTTCCGGACTTTTTCCGGATATTCCACAACATTGTAGATCTCGTAGGAGATACCTCCCTAACCCATCAAGGAACCTCCCTGGTAGCCCATTGTTTCTGTTATAGCGCACGGAGCAGGACTTTAATTTTGGCGCCTATAGACACACTGACATCTATGTGGACCTCTTAAGGCTACTCTGCTCTCGTCTGAAAACAATACATCCTTTCATTCCTCCGCTGTCCAGTCAGCATTTTCTCGTGCGAAAGCAAGTCTAACTTTACGGTGTTGTGGGAGCAGTTGTGGTGCACGATCTGAACGAGAAGCCTCAGATTTCTTTCAGTTCCTCACCTCAAAAAGACGTGTACGCACTTCATTAACGGTGCTGAGGCGATTTCTTAACACTTTACTGACGACGAAGAGGTCATCTCCCGAAATCGTCTGATCGCATCCCGTACCGTAGTTCGAAGTACACCAAGAATATGAGTTATGCGACGTTGGCTGTACCCAGCATCAGCCAGAGTGGCATTTTCCACAGTCACAAACTATTAAGGAACTCAAATTGAACAATACTTGCACCCTATAGCAAAACAGAACAGGAAATGATAACACAGTAGTACAACTGCAACAATGTCAAACAATGACTAAATTCCAAAAAGCCGTCGGTGACACAAATTTAAAAGACTAAATAGTGGTATAAGTGTTTAAATTTTTGCTAGGGCACCCACTTCATAAAAAACAAAACAATTGATAAGCCATAGTTAACATGAAACATATAAGGCGACGACTGATATAGGTGGAAGGTTCATTGTGCCGGTGAGTATACTAAGCATCGAGAAAAAAATATGTTTAAAATCTGTTTTTCTGTTTATTAGCTATCGCTGTCAGAAAACTGTACAAATCTATCTATCTATATCTGTCGATTATGAAATGCTAGAATTATTGGCAAGAAGGGAAGACTGGAGTAGTAATTTCAGTCAAAATACCAATGTTGATAATATGTCTGGAAATTTTACAACAAAAATAAAGACCATGGATCACCTCAGAAATGATTTTATGGATGAAAACAAGGGACACACTATTCAAAGAACATACAAAATTTCCTAACAATGAAGAACTGTTTAAAAAATATAAAACTCAGCGCGATAAAGTCACAAATACAATAACAAATAAAAAATACAAGTACTATAAGAAGAAAGTATCAGAGAATAGAAATAACCCAAAAGTACTATGGTCTACTGTCAATGAATTTTCAGGAAAGCATAAAAAAAGTCAAAGTGCCGAACTGAAAGAAATAAAAACAGAAGATGATTCAATAATCACTAACAAACTCGATATTGCTAATGTATTTGTTAATCATTACTCAACCGTGGGTGAAAAAATGAGGTTATAACTCAAAATGTGAATACTGTGGGTGATACTATTTTCCTAACACCATGTGATGAGGTTTATGTATTTTGATAAAAGCTATTTTTGCCACTGGCATATGCCCCTCGAATTTCAAAATAGTAATTGTTAAACCTGTATTTAAGTCGGGGGAAAAAACAAAGTAAGGAATCACCGTCAAATAAGCATAATATCCAATTTGGCAAAAATATTTCAAAACATCCTCAAAACACGTTTAATGACTTTGAACGAGAAACATCATATAATTCCAGATTTCCAATTTGGTTTTCAAAATGGAAGATCAACTCCGGATGCCACAGTTAACTTAGTCACACAAATATATGATCACTTAAATAAAAAACGACCATGCCTGCCTCACTGCTATCTCAATGAAAGAGTACAAATAGTTAAAATAGACGGTGTTCTGAGCAACCCATTAGAAATTAAATACGGAGTTCCCCAGGGCACTCACTGTTTCAGGGCCAATCCTATTTATATTATATTTGAATGATATGTTATCCATTGATATTTCTGGAAAAATAGTCTCATACTGATGATACAGTACTAATATAATTGATGGGGCAACCTGGGAAGATCAATTACATATATTGGACCCAAATTATTCAATCTTGCTCCAGATCATATAAAAACGGAATATGTGTATAAGTTTTTCAAAATTCCAGTGATCAAATGGCTCAATAATGAAAATATAACATTATTATAAACAAATTCTGTTTAAAAAAATCTGTTTAAAATCTGTTTTTCCGTTAACCAGCTGTCGCACCCCTACGAACGACAACCCTCAGAAGTCGAAACTTGTGCGAGCTAAGGATTAACGAGGTCTTACCTTTTAACGTG